ATGCATTATGCAGCAATTGCTGTTGTCAACTGACAATGCAGCGAAGGCAGCTGCCGCCTGCCAGTAAATTAAGCGGAAAAGTGTGTTGCGGCATATGAAAATGGGGTGGGGGGATTCCGATGGGTGCCAGGGGGGGTCCTGGAGCACAAAAAATAAGGCAACACACCAATGCGATCTGGACGCTGGCTGGCAGTATTATTTGCTGCAGTCGGAAATAACTCAACCGCAAATGAGATAAATTGCGCGCACACAGATAATTGCATGGAGGCCCCCAGACGGCGTTGTGGCATGGAAATGAAATACATTGCACATACGCCGCGTTGCCCGCGCGTTTTTATTCTCTTTCGGCTCTTTTTTTATATGTGTATGTGCGTCGCCCGTCGTCCCAAAGCAATCGGCATGTTTGTGACTCTCCAGTGTGTGCGTGAATTTCCGTTTTCGGCCGCTGTACAAATATTTATGTGGTTGCGAACACACACACACACTCCCAAATACACCCAAACACTCAGACGTGTAATGAGAAAATATTACGCATACGCACTGTACGCTCATTAAATGCGATCGCTGATGGCACTCAGCAGGCTAGCTAGTTGTATTTACAAGGGGAATAACTCAAAGAACCCTTTTAATTCCAATCAATTTCGCTTAATAAAATAATGCAAATAGCAAGCTTTTTTTCGGTTCGTTTAATCGACTGGAAGCTCAGCGTTTATTCCCCAAACTTCGGCCAGAGTTTCTTTAGCAGAACTTTCATTTTAAATACGAGTTTTGATAGTTATGCATATATAATTATAGCTATGTACCATTTTTACGGCACTTGTGTAGTAATTTTTGCACGAGTTTTGATTTGATAAATGAATAACAGAACTATAAAACTGGGCCGGCGATTAATTCAAGTTGAGTTTGAAGTACATTCGGAAAATTCGTTATTCTCATAGGATGCAGTATACAGTATGGGTCGCTTACGTTCATATACACATTACGGATATACATACACATACATTTAGGAGAACGTTTAATTGATTTAACTATAAATTTGATTTATGCTGCTTCAATCTGTGTGTCTGTGTGTCCTTCGCTAAGATTGTGACTAATAAATGTACGCTATTTGTTTATCGTTATCCATAATCGATATCTTTGTCAAGTTTAATTGAATTGTTGCATTATTGTCGTAGTTTACGTTAATTTATCTCCTAACATAATCAGTGGATAAGCATCTTTCTATGCAAACGATTTAGCTATCCCCTCCATCTCCCCTCTGATATGATACGAATAATTGGCTGGGATTCCTAAACTCCTACTTCATCCTCCTCCTACCTCCTCCATATATTACAATACTCTTTATCTGTACACACACGAGTCCTAATCAGCGTAGAAGCAAATGTGCCAATTTGTAATTGTAATTTTTGGCAAGGCAAACAAATGCGAGAAAGAAACAACTAGCAATCCCCCCTCGAACATTCCGATCGGGGGCTAACATTCATATTCGAGGATGAAGCCCTCTCCCTTGGACGTGGACCTCGAATGTTGCTGATGCGGCAGCAGTGGGGCAGCTGTTGCTGCTGCCGCTACACTGGACGATGTTGCTGCTGCGGCAGCGGCTGCTCTGCTTAAATTTACTTGTGACAACATTGCGGTGGCCGTTAATTTGCCATTGTAGGCGAGGGCGGGATTCAGTGTGGGCGTGGCACCGTGTCCGTAATAGTTCAGGGCGGAGGTGAGTGGCACGGACTGCTGTTGTTGCTGCTGCTTGCCACGACGATGTTGCTGCTGCTGCTGCTGCTGTTTGGCCATATAATCCGTGCTCGTATTTCCAGTAGCATTGCGCAACGTTATGAAGGTGTCGAAGTTGTCGGCGGTCGAGGAGGCATTCGAGGTGCTCGAGTTCCGGCGGTTGCCCAAATGTTGTTGCTGCACTTTGGGCGCGGTGGGTTGCAGGTTCAGATTGAGCTTTAGTTGTTGCTGCGACATTGATGAGTTCGACGAGGAGGAGTTGGACAGCGAGGAGGAGTTAACCGAGTGCGCGGGCGGGTGTTGCTGCTGATTCGCATAGTATTTGCGCAAATTCTCCAGCATAAAACGATTGTTTGCATTTCCGGCTGAGCTGCCAGGGACCGATGTTGCTGCTGCTGCAATTGGTGTTCCTACTACTCCCACCGCTGCTCCTCCCAATGCCACCGGCTCTGGCTTAGGCTGATGGAACTGTGGCCCTGTGGTCGGCGTCGCCATCGTTATCTGCTGCTTGCTGCTGGTGGCATAGAGGACATCCCCGCTTTGTCCCGGCAACGCCAAATTGATGACACTGCCTGTTGCAGCTGGCATTGCGGTTGCTGCTGCTGCTGAAGCCGGGATTGCTGCGTGCTGTCGCTCCATCTCCATCTGCAGTCCATGGTTCTGGGTCCTCGGCCTGCCCTTCTGGCTCCTGCCCCCCGACTGATAGCTGCGGGCGTAGTGGGCCTCCATGAGGTCCGCCCGCCTCTGTCTGGCCGCATCCGGCTGTTCCCCGCCTTCTCCTCCGGCACTTCTTCCGAATCCGTAGAACTCACCCCGTGGATAGGCCCTCTCGTAGTTCCTGCTGCCCCGTTGTCGCTGGAAGTGCTCCAGGTAGCTCTCGCAGCCCACTAGGAGGTTCTGCTCCTCCAAACCCACGACATCGTCGCCTGGCGCCTCCTGGCGCTGCAAATGCTGATTGAGGGACTGGTAGAATGTGCTCTCGGCCAGATTCTCATTATAGGATGTCGCACTCGCCGGCTGATGCCAATCAGCGTCTTCGCATTCGTTCACGCTGACGCGAATGCGTATGTCGCGTGCCATATAATCCGGCCTTCCGCCAGCCGCCTCCTCTGCATCCACGTCAACCAATCCTTCTGTCGCCCCTCCGGCTTCATCCTCATCACCCTCCTCTTCGTCGTCGTAAAAGAATCTCGCTGATTTCGCGCTTTCCGCCAGCAGCAAGTCCTCACTCTCCTCCAGAGCCAAAGCATAGCTCGTTAGGTTGTCAAAGTAGTACTCGCACATTTTGTCCGGGTGCTCGTAGCGCAGTTTAAAGTCCTTGGCCTCCTCCTCCGCTCCTAGCTCCTGCCTGTTGTTTGTAGTGGGCCCACTGAACACCGAGGCGTAGTCGGAGCTGCTCATCGAGTCCGAGTTGAGGGCGGAGCTCCTCGCCTTCGACTTGGACGCAATGGGCAGGGTTCCAAGGTTTTCGTAGTTAGCACCATAGTTGGCCGCCTGCGACTGACTTCGTTTGTGTCTTGGTCGACGAGGAGTCTCTGGAGCAGGGTCGGGTCGCTGCTTGGCCAGGGCTCTACGCTGGGCTCCACTCACCCGACCCACCGAGTGGGCCGACTCCTTGGTCGTGCTGAGCTGATGGTCAAAGTTCTGCTCCAGATAGGCATCCAGATAGTGCAGGTTCTTGCTGAGATCGATCTCCGATTTGTAGCTCTTGTAGATAGTGGCTTGTTTGCATCTCGACTCGTAGCTGGAGATGTGCGCCCGATCGCTGATGAAACGGAAGCTCTCGTCTTTGGCCAGGGTGTGGAAGCCACTAAACTCGGAGCCGCCCAGGGAGCCTCCCTCCCCGCCGCTCGAAGTCTTGAAGTTCCGACACTTGTCGCGTATTTTCTGGTATACCCTGACGTGTCTTGGCCTGCAGTCGTTCGAAGTAATTGGCCTTGGTAACCGGCGAGGTGGAGTGGTTAAGTCTCGGATGGTAGGCGGTGGTGTGCTGGATGTCATAGCCACCGGCGCCGGAGGCCCTCATGCTCTGGATGCTGTGCGTCCGGTTGGGATAGCTCAGCTTGAGCTTGGGCAGCGAAGGTGGCTCCTCCACTCCACCTCCTCCTCCTCGCTGGTGCAGCTTTCTCAGGGACAGCTGCTTGAAGATGGCCCTGGATCGCTTGGGTTTACCACTGGATGTGTTCGTCCTTCTGCCACCCAACAAATCCCCAGGATCGTTGTCAAAGTCCTGCCGCTCGAAGCGCCGCACTGGCACTCCATGCAGATAGTGGTGTTCGGAGGGGGGATTCTGACTACGAGTGGACTCAAAAAGTCTCCTCAAACCCCTACCCTGGGGTCTTGGGGGTCTGGAATTCCTAGCATGCCCTGCACTCCTCAGTCGCGTATTCACGCTCAAAGTTAGGATCTCATCGTCGTGGAATATGGAGAAGGGATTCGTGATCACCGTGGAGCTGTCCCCCGCCGTCTGGTTGGCGGAGGGACTCCTCAGGCTGCTTACGGATCTAGTCTTAAGGCTAACGCTACTCCTAGGCCTACTTATGGATACTTCCTGCTGCTGCTTACTCTCTAGTACAACTACAACTTTGGCTTCACTGTGCTGCTGCTGCTGCATCTGCATCTGCTGATGTGGTGGTAACAACTGCTGTCCACTGACCTGGCCCAGATCCGTCTCGGATCGGGAGCGAACCGAGGCGGGAACTGCCTTGCCATTCCGCCGCAGCTCCTTCAAGGAGTTGCTCTGCTTGCGGAAAGCGGTAGAAGGGATTGTTGATGCTCAGCTTTTGGAGCAGCACCTGGGTCTCCTCGGGCGTCAAGGGACCCACTGGCAGGGGATCTGGCTCCTGCTCCACACTTGTCACATTCAGGTGGAGCAGCTTGGGCGCCGTTGGCGGCTTCAGCTCCCTGTTCATGTTGTTCTCCAGATCCCGCTTGATCCCGCTACTCTTGCTGCTGGTCAGCGAACTATTGCCCTCACTATTGCTACTATCGGTCTTGTCACTTTTGGCCACCTCTGAGGTGGTCAGGTTGTTGTTATCGCTATTGGTCAGGGCAGTAGTCGATGTGGAACTGGTTTTGTGGTTGTTATTATTGTGGCTTACGTTGCTGTCATCAAGTCGCTGTTCGTTTGGGGTCGTTTGGTTAGTCTGGTCTATCAGTTCGTGTTGCTGTTCATGTGGCGTTAGCTGTTCGTTGGACTCGCTAGTGGTGTCAATTGCCTGCTAGACCCTAGTGGGCGGTTGTAATATCATTGCAGCCATGCGTACCTTCATTGCCTCCGGCGATCCGTGTCCCGGGTACTGTTGCTGCGCATGTTGGGTTGATGCGGCGTGTAGGGCCGCTGCTGCTGCTGCTGCGGCGTGTTGCTGCTGCTGCTGTTGCTGCTGCTGCTGTTGTTGCTGCTGCTGCTGCTGCTGGTGATGATGGAAGCCCGCAGGCGTGGTGTAAATCGAATCACCTTGAGGGCCACTCGTGCTATCCGAGCGTGATTTCAAATCAGCTTTCTCGCTGCGGGCAAACGGAAGGGAAACGGAAAAGTTAGAAGGGGCATACAAAATCGTTATCGAAAATTGTTTGCCCAAGTGACAATTGTCTGTGGGTGGTGGCTAAGTGGTTGGGTGGCCTTCTTGGCCTTCTAACGCTGATTGGCAAATTGTATTCTAGCAGCATATCTGAATATCTATTTAGTTTTTGTCGCTGCCTTTGGTTGGCCGCAGGCAATTGTTTACTTGGGGCTTAGGAAATTAGATATTCCCCCTGCCATCCGAACCCATCAATTTGCTCTCGAGATTGGCGCACAAATTCAGCCTACAAAACGAGTTTTGTGAAAATGTGGTCAAAGAGCGTACTTGGAACGGAAATTCTATATCCATTTCCGTTCTCCTTTTCCATATTGATCCATTTGATGGGGCTTTACACTGGCATGTGTACGGTTTCATAAACAAAACATAGTAATTCTAAACTCCTAAACTAGGGAAACAAAAGGATGGAGAGCGTTGAATGGCCAAACAACCTCTCATAACTCATATTCGGGGTTCTGGTTGCATGGCTGGCAACAACAATGAGCGATAGGTTGTTTTCCTCCTTTTAAATTTGCTTTTGGAGAACAAAAAATTATTGGAATACCCTTTCAACTGGGTATTATGCTTTTCCTTAATATCTTTTCGAATTGGCTTTTATGAACATCAAAGTACGTCCCTTAAATGTGGTTCAGTATCAAAAAAATGTTCAACAAATGATGTGAAGGTAAAAGATTAGTTTATGAGATAGTATTGCTTGTAGAGAATAGCAAGGTATGTTTTAAATGTTCTTAAAAATACCAATATCAAGTTGATCCTGTAACAATATAAGTATACACCAAATCCGCTTTATAGAGCTAATCCCTTCCCAATTGATTCACTTTTTCGACCTTGTGTGAGGGTATTTCTGCTTTGTTCTTGCAAAAACATTGCATATATTGAATATATGAAAAATGTATAATATTTTATGTCCCCCCCCCCACACACACACATGCACGAGCAGTGGAAAACATTTTTCATTGTTCCAATGCTGTACGTGTGCCTTTGTATGGGTGGGCGAGTTCCTGTACTCGGCCAGTAGGGGCGCATAAATTGGCACGCCAGCGCCACCTGTTGGCTGCAGGATGCGGCTGCATAAAAATATATCAAAATGGTCATTTATCTATGGCTCGACTACCCCTATCCCCTTACATATAGAACTGTGTGTGTGGGTAGGGAAAGGGTGTGTACGTATTACGCTTCAACTTACCTGTCTTTATCCGATGATTTATAGCCCGTGGAACCTGTGCCATGCGAGAAGTGAAAGAAAAAGAGAAAGGGGAAGTTTCATATTAGAGTTTGCAATATTCAGGAATATAAATTCCGCCCATTATTCTGCGAAGGGTGCGGTCTTGTGTGGCTGCTTGCAAAATAGTAGAAATTAGCTGTGAAAATACCGATGGCAATTTACAAACAGACAGCTAGACAGAGGGATATATATTTTTGAAATTCGCCCTTGGAGCCGTGATAAATGAGACAAGGACTTATTGATTGCGACGAACGTGTAAATTCCCGAGTAGGTGTTGCTGCAAATTTTGATGGATATCGAAGGGGTGACGGCAGGCTCCACAGCCAGAGATACATATAGTATCGGGTCGCACTTGAGAGATCTGTCAAACGGCATTTGACAACTGGAAGGCAGCTGCAGCAGTCAGTCAGCCAGTCAAATTGACAGCTTGATTGACAACTGAGAAATTGCGATTAGGTGGCTGAAACTGGGAACTGGGCGCCTGAAGAGTGTTTACAGATGATGGGATGATGTGTATGGGTTGATGGGTCTAGCATATCCGTGTGCAGGAATGCTGCAAATGTCCTTGAGCAATGGCAAAGTTTACCCCGCTCCCCTGCTCCTTAGCAAATTGTTTTACAATTGTAAAAAGTTTCACCGCCTTTTTGTCTGCGTTTTGATTTCTAATTAGGCAGCGAGCTCTGGCTTAAAGCCTGGTTCCTTCGCCGAAAGGAGAGATGAAAATGTTGGCGCAGCTAACAAAAAGCTGGCTGGAAACCCTTAACCCTTTTGTGTGCACAGGGGGTTGGGCTTGGGGTGGCTGAAGGGAAACAGGAAACGGAGACTGACCGCAGGCGTTGGACGCTAATGAATATTTTATGAGATTTATTTGAGTTTCGAGTTTCAAGGAGAATGGGAAAAAAGCAAAAAATAAAAAATAGAAAAAAAGGAAAAAGAGCCAACACAACACACACAAAGCGCTAAAGAGACGCATCCATCCTGGCTGCCATTTTTTCCGCCATGACCGCGTCCTTCTCGCATTTCAATGCTTTGTGAGCTGGCAAGTTTTTGTGTTTTTGCAATTAGTGTGACAGCGGCCTTGGGGTTGCCTTGGATTGGGTTGCTCAGGGCGGTGAGGTGTTGGGGAAACAGGCGCCATAATCAAGGAGGAAGTTTTAATTGTCGCAACCTTGACGGTTCTGGGTGTGCAATTAATACGGCTGCGATGTTAGAGTTCCGGGGATGGGGACTTCCCCCATTTCAACTTACCCTTGAAGCAGCATCTCTTGCTCTTGATCGCATAGATACAGAGGCAAACCAGCAGTAGGATGGCGGCCATGCAGCCCCCGGCCACGCCCATCAGGTAGCTCATCTCGTAGGGTTCTGTCCGGGAATTCCATACGATTCGATACACGGTTGGGTGTTCGATGTGGTGGTGGTGGTGTTGATTATGCAAGCATTAAGGGGAATTTTCATTTTCATATGTTCTAGATATATTATGCAATACATGTACTATATTGCACGTACGATTGATTTTAATTAAAATCGTTGGGATGCGATGCGGGGGTTATGGTTAGATGTAATGATTTCCCTTTTTTGTACGATCTCTTTAATTAGTTTTCAAAATCAGGCTATCATAATATTACATTGGTTACATGAAAAAAATGTAAGCAACACTAGCATTCGAATCCAAGCGAGCTTTGGTTAGTTATTATTTGTCTCAAAGGTTCTTAAGTTGTTAAACCTAATTATCAATCTAGGGGAACAATAATAATCTGCTATATGAGACGGTGTTTTGTAATAAGAACAATGGAATAATTGAATTTAAGCGGAGAGTCTTTTGAAATTATTCTTAATAATTTAATTTAAATTTTTTAATTCATTAAATAAGCTTAGCAACATATCAAAAATGTTGTAACCTTTTATCTCTTAGTTCCAACTACAAGTTCTACTTCAAAATGTAATTCAGTAAGTGCTAGAGACGCGCGAGTATGAAATGATTGCAGGGAGTGTAACTCAAGTGTGAAATGTTCGTGTTATGAGGTGGGGTGATATGGGTGGGGGCAAAGAAAATCAAAGAAGTCTATGCACCTGCAAACGTACCCTCCACAATCAGGTGTATGGCATGACGATCGGTGCCCCGCTCGTTCTCCACCACCAGGTAGTAGGGCCTCGAGTCGTGCTCGTCCGCGTGGAGGATGTGCAACGTGGACAGGTAGCAGTCCTCCCGAGTGTCCGGCTGCATGTCGTCGGCCCGGAAGCGATCTGCGGAGGGGTGGAGAAGGAAAAAAAAAACAGGAGAGTCCTTGTTACTGCAAATGCCAAATGCGAATTGGCTTTCGTGGGCTAAGTAATTGCACTAGAATTGCACACAATTTGTCGGCGGCCGACATTAATCATTCGATTCGATGGGCTAACTAGCATTGGACGTGGAAAAAGGGCTGGAGGAAGATGGAGAACGGATTGGACGGGAATGCGCCCCGTTTGATTTGTGTCAGTGGCAGTGAAAGCACGCAGGATTACACGCACGAAGGACGACCAAGGATGGACACGGGCAGACAAGCTGAAAATGAAGAATAATGCGACCCACAGACCCTGGGCCAGAGGTGCCAACTCAGCTACATTTTCTTTCTTATAAAGCTGTATATAGAATAAACATCTGCCTTGAGCTAAGTATGAATAAATATCATCATGTGAATATTCTTTTATGTTCATGTTTTCGGAATATTATTACCGTCTGTTAATATCTGGATATTATTATTTATTCTTTTTTTAAGTCTTTCAAAGGCCTATATATTTATATTCAAGTTATTAAAAAGGGGTTTAAATTTATTGATTGAAAAAAGCCTGAGTATATAAAAAAGTATTTATCAATATTAAATTATTCAATTACATTTTCTCCTGTGTAAGTATTAAAATTTCAATTAAAATAAATCTATAAGCACTTGGCTAATTACTCGTAGTTCAATTTAGCAATTTTCAGGTAGAGATAAACCAGGTAATCAATAGTTGGCAACAATGGCCAACACTGGCTGGCTGGGATGCAGTTCAAGTTCAGGGAAACGGAGGAAAAAGGGGGAAGGAGATGCAGCTGCATCTGCTGGCGGATGTTCATCCCGAAAGAGTTTCAGCTGGAAAATGAGCTGGGTTGTGTGTGTTGCCTGTCTGTTGAAGCTCGGATTACCGGCGGCTGACAGGCGTGGGAAGTCTGCCCGAGGCAACCCCCCTCGAAGCCCCTCCTTTCCAACATCGGACATGACACTGCCAGTTTCTTGTCCGACTCTGACTCCATTCGGTCATGTAATTTGTCTTGATTTGCGGAACAACCCGGCGCGACTTGCAATTGTGCGAATGTTCTATGCCGAACCCTTTTTGCGGGAATAGTTAATCTAATGAGCCCTCGAGCAGCCATGGTTGTGCATCCTGTAAAGCGGCGCTAATTGAATTCCGAGTAGGCAAAACTAAGTCCAGCGCCTAATTGCATTACCATTAGCGCGGACCAATGGGGCGGATGGTAAGCGCTGAGCGGTAAATGCCTATCAAACAAGTATACGCACCGATGCCCGAGCCGGCCTCCAGACGCAGAGATCCCCATTCCCAGGCGACGCGCTGTGGCCGCGGATCCGCACAGACGACCATCGTCAGGGTGGCCGACTCTCCTCGCTTCACGGAGACGGTGTGCAGGGATGGATGGAGGCGCAGCACCTGGGGGGCACCTGCAAGGACAACGGAAACAAGGTGAAAAATGCATAAAGGAGTCGCGTTTAGTCCGGCCAGATGACTTTTTAATTGAGTTGGTGTGGCGCAACGCATTCGCCCAGCCGCACTGCCGAAGATAATTATATAGAGTGGCCAAAGGGTGCAGTTCAACCACCCGATGCGGCCGTTTCAATTGCTTTAAGGGTGAACGGAACTTGGATAGGCGAGGAACCTAACACAAATTAGTCTTCACTCTTTGCGTTTTACATATATGTTTAAAGTGAAATCAATCACGATTCACAATTTTAAGTTAATGTGTGTGTCGAATTGGATATATTTCATAAAAAGGCGTTAACAAATTTCAACTAAAAATCAAGAATTGAAAATAATATTTATGATTGATAGATTCTTAATTGCTTTAACAATAATTATTATTATTATATTGTCCAAGTAATCATTATAATTTATATACTTAAATCACAATGATTAAATTCTGAATTTTATGATACCTAACAATTTTGTATAATAACTAGTCTGTGGAGAGCTTTTCTAAAACATCTGATAGCTCAAAAAAATAATTGGTATTGCCAGGATTTTACTAGGATCTTAAACATGTGACAGAATTTTTAAATATTTAATATTTTTCATGAATTGAACTCGTTTTCATCCAATTTGTCAAAGTTTTTGATCACACAGAAATACAAATATGTAATACATATTCGGTATTTTAGGTACATTATTGCCCAATAATGAAAAAGGGGAGCTTTTCTTTTTTTTGACACTCAGTCGCAGTTAGTTAGTTAGTTTGTTAGTAACTTGACACTCTCACACACACAGACACACGTTAATATGTATAGATGTGGCCAGGACTTTTTTCGTGTGCATGTTTATTTTTGTCCATTTTTTTGGTCCCCGGCTCTGCTAAATTGCTCGTGTCCTTGGTTGGTCATAAATTATGTACGTGCTGTGGTATTCAGCACTAAATTTAAATATTTCTTGCTGCTCTTTTTTTTAGAGTTCTTTCTTTTTTTGTGCGCCCAGTTTGCTGTCCAGTTTTTCGCCCTCGGCAGTTGCAGCTCCATTTTTTTTTCCGCTGGCGCTGCGGTCATAAGTTCATTTTGATTTTGTGTTACGTTTTGGTTTAGTCCGTTGCCCAGTTGCTAGTTGCTAGCCACCGCGAAATTGTATGGTACGGTATGCTATGGTGAAAATGTAAGGGGGAAATCGAAGGGAAAGCGGAAAAGCGGGAAAGTGGGAAGGCGACGAGGAGGTGGCAACGCAAGCGCTTAAAATGTTTTGCAGGCGCTTTCCGGCTGCAGCTTTTAATGGAGTTTTGTTAGTTGTTTTAAGTGTGCATTAGTTGCACGGCAGCCGCACGAGGGGCGGACTTAAATGAGTAGCCCGAGGGGGAATACGTTTGTTTCCCCACTTTTTTTTTATCCGGTTGCGTTGTCACCTTCTCTGTGGCCATGCTGGCCATCTCCATGACACTGGTCTCCATTTTTAGCCCGGTCTGGGCTAAAATTGACATCGAAAAAAGCAAAGAGAGCCGGGATGCAGATTTATGACCGCAAACATGGACCGTTCCCTTAGCCCGTGATACTCTTTCCATTCCGCTGGCTCCGTTGGCAAATCCATGCCGCAGTGCCTCGCTGGATCCTAGAGGATTCAGTGCGTGTCAGGTGGAGAACATGCAAGTGGCGGACCCTGCCTTGTTGTCGTCATATTTCGTGGCATTGCGGTTTTTATGGCCACACCACACACAGCAGACACAAGCTCTGCAGATAGGAACTCACCCACAACTTGGAGCGACACCGGATCGGATATGGCCACCCGCTCCTGGCCATTGATGTAGCTGGTCGCCCGGCACTCGTACTCGCCCTGGTACTCGTAGGTGACGTTGTCGATGACCAATCTGGACTCCGAGCCCCGCTCCACGTACTTGGATCCGTGGGCCATTCTGGAATGTAAGAAAGAGAAAATTAAAACCACCGTTAATATTTAAAAAAGCGATGAGTGTAAGTCAGAGTTGTAACTAATTAATGCTTAAGTCATTTCATTAGAAATAAAAAAAGGAAAAGATAATATAATGTCATTAGATTGATCCCAAAAATTTTAAATACCGTTTTCCTTAACGGGGCTTTTTTTATTTTCAATAAAAGTTATAACTTCTTTAAAGAATGAAATAAAATGTAAAATCCCTTGCCAAAAATGTAAAGCTTTTTGAAGGTCCTAAAATAAATGTCGACTGAAGGATGTGAAGTAATTGAACCGCGAATTCTTCAGGAGAGGGGAAACTTTTGGTATAAGTCCTTTTCGGGACAAAATAAATCAATGACGGCAATGTCGACAGCATATATCCTGGGTTTACAACACAAAACCAAGGTTTGGTCGTTACCCAGATAGAAAGAGCTTTTTCGTGGAGCAATTGATTATGATTATGCCCGACTAATATACGGATTCCATCTGGCCACGGACCCTGGCCTGGTGCATACTTTGCAGCTCGCTCTTTGAGCTGCTCCCAGTCGGACAAAATGAAACTGATGCATGCAGCAGAGGCCACATTCCTCATCCTGCTCCAAACCCTCCTGCCCCCCTCCACTTTTCCCATGTGTCCTCCGCTGCTGCAATCCTTGCTTGGCAATATTGAAAATTGCGTATGCGTATGAGTTATTTTTCGGTGCAGGCTGCCCGACTCACAGAAAGAGAGCTGGCTCACAGAAATATTTGATACATTTTTAATATGAGAAATGCCTTTCAAGCTGCGAAATGCTCCGGGGTGCCTGGCTCTTCAGTCTGCCCACAGATTCTTTTGAGGGAGCCGCAAAAAAGGATGGAAAAAAAAGAACGGTTTAACCAATACATTCATTCGATGGTGCTTAAAGTGGCAGCAAGGATCTTTAAGTCGGTCCTTGGCAAACAGCAATTAAAAGCAATAAATTAGAAAGCCATTCAAATGCAAATCTCCGAAGTCGAAAAAGTTTGGCAAGCGCTGTTCTTTTCGGTTCCATTTCTCGAAGGTCCAGAGAGAGAGAGCGGTAAAATCACGTAAATCAAAGTGACAGGACTTCGTGTCCTGTGTCGTGTCCTTGGGTACCTCATTTGCAAGGCACCCGGCCAACGGCTGCACTTGCAGCCCAGTCGAAGGACTCCAAGGACACCACCACCACCTGGGAGGAGAGGAGATTAAGGATGTGCCGAGCATACGTCGCCTGGCCTGTCAGCGGCTCACTTCGTGGCATTGATTTATTACCCGCCAGTTCCAAATGGGCGACTCCCACTGTTTACCCAACACGGCACGCGCCATTTAATTCGGTGGGCGGAAATGGGGGGTGAATGTGGGTGAAAGTAGGGGGGTGTTTGGAGAACATGCGTGGAAATTAGTTTTCAACAATTGACATTTAATTTCTGATAAACACGCGCGCATTCGCTTCATTAAGTCAACACGTCAATGTGTTGCATGTGGCATTCGTTATTAGATGGCGACACCTTCGCATAACAACCACCCATCCCATATCCTAAGTCCCATATATAAGCCTGATCACGATCCGGCGTAGCTCTGTGTATGTTTTATGTTGGCCCAATTGTCTGGGGGCAAGTGCAAACAAATGGAATCACAAAAATCACGTACTTACGTGGCAGCATCAAAGAGCACCAGGGCCAGAAAGAGACGGGTAGATGCCACAGAAAGAGACGGGACGCTATAGACAGTCATATGCATGAGGAGTGTTTCGATTTTTCCCACAGAATTCGCCTGCTTTGCATACTAATGCATATAGCCATCAACGACCAAAGGAGAAACGGAAGGAGCCTAATCCTGCCGGCATTATAGATGGTTTCTTACTACCCTAACGAAAGTCGGCTATATGCGATCGGGTCCACACCTAGGTGTATACTTTTGGTTTCTATATTAACGAAGATTACTTCACAAAATCAAAAAATGTGTCATATGTACAAGCCCTCAATGGAATCTTTAGGATCATTATTATATTATCCTGCTTTGCCTTTTTACAAGGCACCTGTTAAGATTTCTTTCATTCGGTTATCTTAAATATAATAAATTACAGGGCACCCCACCTTCAGTATGTCAAGCAACAGACCTTGTTCCGTGTTGTTTTCCCTTGGCTCAGACAATTTCCGTTGAACAGCTAATTAAAATTACGCAAAATATCATCAGCTTTGTTGGAAATGGGCGTGGAGCCTTCTCAAGAGGAAATGTGCAACAGGAAATGTGCTCCCGTAAGAGGGAAATGCTGTTCCCACAGGCAAGAAGCCTTAAAAAAGGCAACTCCTTGCTGGGGGTGCGGAATGTGCTGCTAATTATTGCATAAAGTGCAGGCATTTCTACATCATCTTCATCTTAGGGGCGGGACAAATATTGCGCATACGCAGAGTGAACCGCGTTTAATTAGCGCTACCATTCAGTCGACTACAATAACCGGTCACGAGACCAGTAAAGTTCCGAGAAGAGCCACGTATTTAAAGCAAGACCATGGAAGTTTTCCACAAAACCTGGAAGAGCCACCAAAAGTATGCAAGGCAAACTGCCGAAGAACTTCAGTGGGGGAAACCACAAGTTATGCACACCGAGAAAACTGATTTCACAGAATTGGTTTTGGGAAATTGTGAAGTCTTCCTTAAACAAAATTCGATCTAAGAACTCGGGACAAAACACTTATACTTATTGCTGAAAATACAACAAGGTTAATAATGAAAGATCCTAATCCCACTTAACATCGAATTGTGCGAATAAAATACATAATTACATTCTATTTGCGAAAGAGCCTAACCATAAAAACCAACATTTTGATTATTAGAATAAATTGAGCCCTAGATAATCCCCATCTTAACCGAAACGGTCGAGATTTCAGTGTATTTAAATATATACATGTCGATGGACTCACCTCTGTACCCATTTGAAGGATGGCAGGGGATTACCATCAGCCAGGCACTCGAAGGCGGCAGGACTAAAAAGCGGGGCGGTGGTGAGACGATCCGGGCCAGCTGAAATAATTTTGGGAGGATCTGGTGGGGCAGGCGAGGGAGGAGGGAACAAAAACAGGGCTGGGTGAAAACTTTGTCCAAGGTAAATACTGAGATACGTACATTTCACATCCAACTGCACCGAGAGTTGCTCGGAGGTGCCCACCGAGTTCTGCGCCTGGCAGGTGTACAATCCGGCATCGCGCCGTCCGACGGGACGCAATTGCAGAGTTTCCTGTGGGACAGAGGGCAAGAAGGAGCAGGAGTTGGATCACCAGGCAATTTAATACAATTACAACATTTCTGCTACACTCCAGATAAATACCCAGCGAGGGAGTCTGAAGCTGGAGCAGGAGCAATTTGGGAACAACATAAACAAGTTGGGTAGCTGCAGCTAAGCTCACCTGCAAGCTGGCTATCTCGGAGCGACCGGCCCGCCGCCAGACGATGCTGGCCGGCGGATTGGCATCGGCCACGCAGCGCAGGACCAGCGCATCCTTGTCCTCCTCCAAGTCGATTTCCGGCGAGCCAATTAGACGGATGCTCGGCGCGTCTGCGAGAAAACAGAAACAGAAACGGAGACGTTCAACTTGGTTAGGCAAAACAAAAACAGCAATTGAAACTACAGAAACAGCAATAGAATGGCAGTCGAGCAAGCAGAGTCAACAAGCTGCTCTGGCTCCTGGCCACGTCCTTTGGGACAAGTCAACTCTTGAATTGCTCAGCAAAACAGGAAATTACAGCAAATTGTTGTTAATTTAATTGTTACAGCTCTCTGTCTCCGATTCGGATTGGGATTGTGATTCCGCTGTTGCTCCGTCTGGGTTTAGTTTGCCCAGCACTTACAGCCAAATGAAATGAAGGCACTTTAGTGGCCTCCAGTTCAGGATGCAGGTGTATGGTGTATGGGGTATCACAGTTTGCCTATCGTTATCGCAACACTCACATTTCACGTCCAGGCGGGCCTCCACCGCCACCGATTTGGCCGTGTAGGACTCGTGGAAGGCGGCGCACCGCAGGATATCTCCGTGGCGCTCCCGCATCGCAGACACCTGCACCACCGAGGTGGCCGACCAGGTGCGTGGATTATCCGGCTCGGTGGCATTCATTTGCGGGTGGATGGGCGATATCTCCTGGTCGCCTGCGGGGGAGAGCAACAAATGGGAATTAATTAACATTAACAACTACCGCTGGATAACAACTGAAAGAAGGGGTTGTGCTTCAGCCCGCACCGGAAAAAATAGGATAGCAATTGAGCTCAAGTTTAAACATGAAAAGAGGAATTTTAGGACTTTTGAAAGAAATTAATAAGTTTTAATGTCTCATGAAATATCAGAAAACTTGTAGAAAAAATATATTTTACATTTAAAAGTATTAAGTTAATGGTTAGGGCTAGTACGGACTTGAATACAAATGCCTGCGAAAGCTTATTCTCATTTTTGTAGACTAGCAATTCAAAAATGATATCTTAAAATATAAATGAGAGATAACGATTTAGCTGGGATGTCGCATGATAATTTCTTCTCTGTAAAGCACGCATATCCTCACTTAAAAGTACACACATTTTGTTGTTCGTGGTCAGCAGGAATGCACTTACCCAAAAACCATTTGAGAGTGGCCGGCGGATTGCCGTAGTGCGAGACGCACTTGACCGTCGCCAGGGCGCCGGCGTCTGCGGTGATGTTGTGTCCTGGCGGCACGTGTACCGCCTCGTACTCGAGCCTCGGCCGCTGCGGCGCCACTGCAAACAGAAAGGGAGTGTCCTTGGCAATTAGGTCTCGAGGACTCACGGTGAATTAAGGGACAGTTTGCATGGGCAGACCCCTCAATCGATTCGAGGCACTTACCACGTACGACAAGTCGCACCGGCTGGCTGGTGAGGGCATCCTGGGTGGTGAAGTCACTGGCCGTCACTTGGCACTCCCACAGTCCGTCGTCGAAGTCCAGCGTGGCGGAGCGGATCCACAGGGAGCAGTCGCCGCCAAGCTGCACCGCCGGCGGGTGGAGGTCCAGATGCAGGACGTTCCCATTGTCGCTACTCGGGATACGTGAGGCCCATTCGTATTTCTTTGTATAGATGCCAACGGGCTGAGGACAAGGAAATGGATTGAGTTAGTTCCACTCGGAGAAATAGGGTTCACCAAAATGGGTTATAGTTTGTCTTTTTGATATTAAAACTAATCTTGTGATTTGGATTTCATTTGTTTAAATCGTATCCCTTTTGTTAATTATCAATGTGTAAAGAATCCTCTGCAGAAACAATGATTTTAATGATTCTGAAACTTTTTCCTTCTTTTCTTCTTCTTCTACTTGTCTTGAGTGAAGTTTGCTGCGCTTGATCTCGATCTATCGATAACACATACTCCGATACTTAACAACTTTATAAGATGTTCTCACTATGTCACATTTTTTTAAGGATGTTTGCAGTAAATGCTAAGCTTAATCGTCGGAATAAAGACTATATTACTAGAGATGTACGTGCGAATTTCAGTATCACCCCCAAAAACATGGGTTTTTAAATCATATTACTTTTTCTCTGTGTCGATTGAAGCACGGAGTCAGGATATGGATAGGAATGAAAACGATGATGGCGTTGAAATGAACTGGGCGTCGTCTACGACATGTTTAGCATGTTTAACTTTTCGATGCAGTCGGGCGACTAATTTGGTCTCCGATTTGGACAAACATACAGAGACAAATCGACGAGCTAATGGACAGGGGAGGAGCCCAGTAGGTGGCCTTCTCCGAAACCTCCCCCCCCCAAATTCCTCCACAACCACTCCACTTTTCCAGCGACCCACTACCACTACGTGTCATTTAACTCCATTTTCAGTCGTCGTTTCAGTCGCTTCTGTCCGTAAATTGGCATTAGTTTGTTTGCTAATTGGAAATTAAATTACAATTAGTGATCTCTGAGCGTGGCATCGTTCGCATTTAAGTATTTATGGGAACCGGCCCCCCAAAAACCCCTGGAACAGAGCTGCCTAATTGCATTTCGGCTTTGAGTGTTGTCTGCGTTGTCCGTGGCATAATGGGTTAAATTAATTGCTACATTGAGTTTGTGCCATGGCCCAAACAATTGCTTAAAGCGAGCATTCAAATTTATTGAAAGAACCCGAAAGGAAATGCAAGTGGATAATCTAATCTATTCTGTCCTGCCATTTTGAAATTCGTTGTTTAAATTTGCGGAAATGGCCACAAATGCATATTGTTTGTCCCAGGCCGATAAAATAAAGTGTGACATGCATTTGACCACCTTGAGATGACGACCGACCAGCCAGCATAAAATACAGTATCTCTGTTTTATTAAACAGCTTGCGGCTGGCATGTCTGATGTCTGATGTCTGAGATACCACCGCTCCCACTTGACTCCACTGACCTTAGGCCACAGGGAATAATCAATGCCCACCATGGGTTAAGCTAAGTTTGCGGGCTCTGCGGCAACAAAAGATACGAGCTCAATGGGCGATCGAACTGCCAAACTGCCAGAAAAACAATTTTTAGCTAGGAGATAAAAAATCAAAGCGAACAAATATTTGGCTCTGGCCCATTGAGGCTGCCAATGCTGCCAAAACATTCTCGAATCGATACTCGTATCGGCATAATTCTCCGCATATTCCAACTTCGAAATGGTAACTGCAAGCAACAAAATCGAGGCAAAACTCCGGAGTTTGCCTGGAATAAAAAAAAATGTGCGGTGCGATGGCCAAAAATTACATTTATTCAAATGGCTGGAGCTTGGTTGTTGATATCATACTCGAAAATATTCTCCATTTGTGCTTTGGAATTATCAGGAAATGCACTGCACAGAAAACACACACACAGATGAGGCATGGATAGAATTGAAAATTTCTCGACAGACATCCTTTGGCTAAATTAGAATGCAGCTCGTGAATGGACACAACCCATGACCCCTACCCCTGTATTCTTTTATTTTTCTATTCGGATTTTTTGGGACAAACGATTCGAAATGTCGCTTCTTATGATAACTACACGTAGAATGTATGGACAGAACTATATGGCCAAATGGAGGAAATTGGGAAACGTTAAGCACACATAGGAAAAAAGGAGGAAAGTGGAATAAGTATGCAAAAATAAGAAGAATTTTAAATGAAGCCCGAAACAGCAACATCAGCATGTTTGTGTGTGTGTGCGACGCTCGATGCATGCAAATGTTGTTTGCCCTAGTCCTTCGTCCTGCGTCCTTTTCGCTTCCTTCAACTTGTTCGAGTGGAGAGACACAAAGCATGTAAACATTTAAGTATGTGATGCAGAGCGAGAGTCTGCGATGCGCAGCATATGAAAAAGGACATTTGAAATGCTTTCTGATTTTTGTCATACAATGGCGAAGGACCCCCTAAATCCCCCCTCCACTGAGGTCCCTATGTGCATTTGCATAAGCAACTACCACAACAAGTGGGGATGGGAATGGGAAGTGGGGTCTAGAGACACTGCAGGGAGTGGCAAATAAAAGTTATGCTTCAAACGCACACAATTGCCCTGAATAACAAACGGCCACCACATATTCCCTCTCGCCGTAGCCCGGAGCTGATCCATAATGAGGCCACTTTGGATTGGTATGCAAACAAAGTCGCTCAAGGTCCGGGATCCCACAATCCCATACCGCCCACAATGGCCATAACAAATGGCCAGAACACAACTTTGAGTTAAGGCCACCGGACATAAATATTATATTGAACAGTAAAAACAAGATTATGGCAAAGAACAATAATAAATTTAACAAAAACTTCACATCTTCAGAAATGAATGGTTAATGCTGCCTTTTTATTTTCTATTCAAATGCAAAACGAAGTGGTTCAGTCGTTCCACAGAAGGAGAAGAAGAAGGAATATTTTGGAATAATTGTTACAAGAGCAAATCCATATGAATATAATGAAGCTGACGAAAAAATGTTCATTGTTTGGGCCTGTTTTACAATTTTTAGCCTGTTTTTTAAGCTAAAAGATAAAATTTTATTGTAGTACATGTGAAAAAAATGCAGGCTAATCAAAAAAAGTGAGGAAATATATTTTGAAATTTTTTTTATAAGGCATTAGTTGCTAACACGTAAATGCCTTGAATAAACTGGGCTTACAAAACAAAATTCTGCTATATAAATTGGCCAACGTGACAAGATAAACCTAATTAATTAAAGCGAAAAATGTTTTTTTTTGCACATAGGATCAACTGAGGGAGAGGGCCAAACAATATTTTCATGTTTGCGCTGGGATGAAATCCAATTGGGGCTATCTGCCCCCCTCCCTGGTCCTCTGCTGTCACGCACTTTCGATTAAAAGTTGCGCCGGCCAGTGTTCTAATCAACGGCGAACAAAGAAAGGCTGTCTGGGGTGCTGTTCCCAGGTCCTGTGACCCCTGACCCCTCGAACTCTGTCCCGCTTCCACGGGCAACTTTCATTATTGACTCGTCCTGGTCAGGGTGTAAATTACATTCGCCACATGTGGAGGCCAAAAGAACAACACTTAATTGAACCGCAGGACGCGCCACGCATATGATATGAGTTTTCTAGCCAGGACACGTCGGTGAGCCTGTTAGTGTTAGTATGCCAGCAAAGTTCGCTTGTTTGTGTGTGTGTGTGTTTGGCCGGGACTTTTGGCCAAGTTATGAGTTTAATCAAAATGTTTATAAACTGGCGCGGGGCCATCGATAGATGGGCTCGGTGAGCCGATATAATTACCTTGTTATCCTTTTGCCAGGAGCACGTGCCGCGCTTGTCGATAACTTTGCATGTGAGCAGCGTGTCCTCGGCGGGATTCACCTCCGTGTACTTGGGCTGCTCCGAGAATCGCTGGAAGCCCTCGATTCCTGCAGAAAGGGAAAAGAGAAAGGGGAGAAAATGGTGAGAAAATGGCGAAGGGCGAATGGAAAAAGTGGAATGCTGGGTCTGTCATTTGCATAAACTACTTCCGCCGAGGGTTTCGCTTCCGGCTCAGCCCGCTGCGCATGTAAGTATGCTACCCTTTCGGAACCCCTTCTATAAAATCGCTGGCTGCATTTGTCACGCCCCCACACCCATACAGCCTCCCCTTAGCCCTCACACACACACACCCACAACGCGGGCAATTATGAACGCTTCACGGAATGGCGGCCATTTGCTTATCTTCACAGGAACCCCCTCCCCTCAGCGTGTGTAAGTGTGTGTGCGCTTCTTTCATTATCATTTGGCCGCTTTCTCCCTTTTTTTATTTTATTTTATTTTTGTACGCGCAGCGGAGAATTTATGTTAATTGCTGGCATGTTGAATATTTTCTCCGCACTTGCACTCAATTACACCAATTACAGGTTGAAAATTACACGCGCTGCTTGCTCAAGATAATGGATGTGGGCCCTGTGGGCTGTGGATGTGGATGTGGCTGTGGGGGCGTGGTCCACAACTTTGGGTTGCCTAATGATAAGGGCGTAAGTACGTAAGGACCTGCTGAGGCCCTCTACTCACCCAACAGCACTGACAAATAATCAAGAGCAGAGGACTTATTAAGAAAACTGTTGTCTTGAAAGGGTCTTTAAGAAATTCCTAAGTGTTTGAGACCAATTCCCTTTATTTCTAGAATACTTGTACCTGTAACAATTGTTCCAAAACTAAGATTATAATAAGTAATTAATGCCTTAAAACGTTTTCAAACTCTTAGGAAACTCTTGCACTCAAAGGATTATCAAGAAAATAGTAATCTTAAAATTATCTTAGTTTAAGAAGTACTTAAAAGCTTTGCTTTCAAATAATTTCAATTTTTTCTTAAATAAATATGTTACATCGTTGATTTCCAGATGCTACAATTCGCACCTAAGTATTCTATGTATTGAAATGTATATAAATCTTAAGAAAAGTGTTAAATCATCATGCTACTTTTTAAGAAAATTTCGTTCTTGAAATTATCTCAAAACTGAAATTGAAATGCTAAATATTCCACAAAAAATTAAGGATACTTGAATACATAGGAAACTGTTGATTCATTCAGCTTGTAACATTTACATTTTATTGTATTTTGTATTGCTACCACAAACTTGTGCGAATAATGGGGGCCACAAACTAGCATACCAAAGCCCCGAATTTATTTCCCTTGAATTTTCTTTCTCTCTGTAAGAAAGCCAGTCAGTTGGTCAGCAGGTCGGGGCTTTGGCTTTGCCTCGATATCAAGAGGTCAAGGATTAATTGAAGCCTTTTGGCTTTTTAATTGCTGTTTGCGTAGCCAATCCGCACTTGTCATCGCTCATGGGCCACAATGGGCCACCGTTGCTTTTCGGCTTTTGTTTGGCTGTCAACTTGCGCTTTTCATGCGTGTTTGGGGAGTTTTCCCTGCTATGCGATTGTACATAAATGTGGGTATAAAAAATACGGCGGCGGTCTTATTGCGTGTGTTGGCCACACGTGACTGCCGTTAGTCGTCGAGTTTCCGTCTTTTACGCCGCCTTTTTGACCCGCCAAATGCCACAAAAACTGGGCAAACAGGTATATATATACATACCTATATATGGGTATAAAATGGGTGCATGGGAACATTCACTCACGCAATGATTTATTACGCGTGATTGGCGTGATTGCCACTTTGCTGCCTTATTTTCAGGCAGCCCCCGTTGGTTCCGCTTTTATCGGGTTCCGTATAAAGGGGGCTTTGTATTTCAATTATACAGCCAACTTTAGAGGTCTGATTTCTACGACTTGTACTACTTAATTTCTGCGTGACCAAACAGTGGCGGGCCCACTTAATTGAAACGCATTGGAATGCAAAGATTCGCCCCGCCGGAAAACCACTGGCAAACAAAAATAAAGCGATGCCGGAACAGCGAAAGTAAATAATACTGCGAAGCGAAACCGCCGGAGCCTATTTGCAGGGCAAATAAAAATATTAAAAATAAATAAGCAGTAGCAACGAAATTTGAGCCTTGAAGGAAAGTGCCGTCCCAGCTGCGTTCTGTTCGCCCCCCGCCCTCCTTCAAGGCAAATAGACAAGGATCCGGGTTCCGGAGCCAGCTGCGATTGCAGTTTTAGCTGCCCGGGTCCGGGTCCTTGGATCCTTGAATCCTTGAATCCTTGGCTGTTGGGATGCTTGGATGCCGGGCTTCAAGTGCGTGCCGCTGAGTGCTGCTTATGGGATTGTTTCAGCTCCTGCAGCACGGCTCGTGCCGTGAAGTGGCGTTGTTGTTTGGCCTGCTGCTGGTCCTCCTCCTCGTGCTCCCTCCCCCCTTTTTCTGTCCATGTTTCAAGGGTTTTACGTGCCTGTGCACAGCCAGCAAGGATAACAATTACTCTAGTGGCATGTCCACCATCTAGTACCCCGCTAACTGCTGATGCCCCACAAAGATACCCTACATGGTCAAGCGGAATAATTAAAACAAAATTTTATTTGTTAATAAACCATTAGACATGACAGACTGGTTAAGATAAACTTTAATATTTAAGTATGATAGCATAAAATAAATGTTCTAAATCTTTTATGGCACTAGTAACATTTGAAATACCCCGAATCAGCAATTTACAGGGTATAATGAATTAAGCTCAATGCGATTTTCATTACGATGGCTTGTTTTTCAATTGTTTAGCGGTTAAATAAACGCCTGTTTAAATACATATTTGTGTGTTTTTCCTCGTTTCCTCCCCGCTGTGTGCCTTTCGTGTTGCATGCCGGTCTGAATTTATAGTTTTCCCCAGCGGCCACCGTCCAGTTTCCACTTTTCCGGCTCTTGCCGCTCTCCAATATGTCAGACGCACATTTTGGGGGATCCGCCCTGGTCCTCCTCCTGGTCACCATCCCCATCCCAAAACCCCTACCCATCCTGATTCCCCCATCCCTCAAGCTGTCTAGTGGCAAGCTGCTTTTGCTGTGCTGCTGCTGTGCTGTTTACTTTTGATGATGCATGGCAGCGTAATAATTTCACGTAGACGTCCACGGCACGCAACAAACGACAAATGGCCAGGGGAACTACAATGCACTGCAGAAAAAATATTGATCTAAATGGTCACCTAAATATTAAACATTTTCTTAAATTTATAAAGACCAAAACTACATTTTTCCTGGTTTTTACAAAATAACTTGTTCATTAGCTTACTAAATTTAGAAAAATCATCTTTCTTTGATGGTTCATTTGTTTCCAGTGCAAGAAGCGGGTGAAAATCAAATGGGTCAACTGGTCGCGGCCCGGCTCTTAGCATCTGGTCAGTTATAAAATGCTGTTTGGGCTCTTCAGCTGCCGACCCACAGCGACATTACTCATACGCAACGTGGCCCGTGGACTTTTACCGCCAGCAGTTTAAGCCCAAACCAGCAGCATGAAGAAACTGGCGGAAATTTAAGGAAAATTCCCACCGGCAGTCAAGGTGCTTGGAGCCACACTTATCCAACCATTCACCCACCCACCGAAGGTGCCACACAAAGTCCCCGTTCACCTCACTCACTTCGGCTTTGTCGGCAATCAATGAAAGCAATTTGTGAATCCCTTGTGCAATTCGGCGACATACAAACGAGCTCAAGGACACCCACACACAAGCTCAAAACACCCGAGAGGATGTCCCGGGAAAAGGTATTGGCAGTGGCGATGAAAAATCTTGTATGCAAATCAAATATGCAAGATGATTTGTAAATTTTTCCAAATGTATTTTATATAAAAACCTAACCAACGAGAACGAGGACCCCCGCAGGAGCCGTAACAACAGGATTCGCCGGCTTAAACTTTTTAAACCTGTTCCGCATCATCGACCCGCTTTTTATCCCTCGGAGGTGCTAAGCAAACATGCAAGCTGTGAGGATTATAAAAAGTAGCAAAGAAAGGAGCCAGGATGAGGATGCGAAAAAGGATAGCCCCGACAAACAGCCACCCCAAAAAAAGGGAGGAAGGAAGGAAAGGCAACAAACAAATAAGACCCCCCCATATCCCATTTCTTTGCCTCGCATGTTCGCATGTGCTAAGCTTTTTGTATGTTGCCCCCTCAAAAACCCGACCGCCTACTTAGGCATAATGATATATTTAGCCTGCCAAGTGATTGTTATTTGATATTCAACAGATTTCTGCTCTTCGACAGACTTTGTGTCTCCCTGGTAGAGGTTAAATCGATGCGTGCTTGTGTTATTTCATGAGTTGGCAAACATCCTCCAACGCTGCGTATGCGTAACGCCTGTCAAGTGGCTCGAGCTGACCGGTCAACTGCATATGGAAACTGATTTGTAAACTGACAAAATAGCCCCAGTCCCTCTTCACAGGATGGCATTTCGGATAGACAATGAATGACACGTTTTGTCGCTTACATTTTTCATATTTTCATAGCTCATTGACTGCCGAGCGAAATGGCTCGGAACGGTTCGACCTGCTTACCCTTGCCCCACTTTGTCCATACTTTTCCCCCACTTTCTCCCAGTTTCCCCACTTTCCTTGTTGTTTGACACTCGAAGTTTATGCATTTATTTGTAGCAGGCCGTCGAGTCGTTGATTTATTGTATTGTACTCGCTGCCATTGTAATGTTTGTGTCTGAGTGCCCCACTCGAAGTGTGTGTGTGTGCGGGGATTCATATGGCAGTCAAGTGGGCCCTCGAGTTTATGTATGTAATTTTTATATAATTCCTAGGACATAAGGACATGAGGACACAGGACCTCGAACCGCCTTCAACTGCAGTCGTCGTCACACAAAGTTTCATTTGCTTTTATGGCCCACTTAGCACCATTAATGTCTATGGCCATCGATCACGAAACTAGGTATTGCGTTTAAAATCCCAAAAGGGCTCCCCAAAACGAACACATCCATAAGCCGGCACACAAAATATGCAAAAAGGGGTATTTTCAACGTGGGATTTACCTGTCGCATGCAAGGCAATTAGAAGCGAAAAGCGAACTGAAAAGGTCGGCAAAAATTACGAAGAGAAGGTGGTTCAGGTTCCTGATTGGCCGATAAAGCCCCATCGAAATTGTGACAAATACGCGGCGGTAACAATTCATTTAGATAAATCAACAAGAGCCGGACAAATGGAGTCATTACTGACTGACCGACCATTCGTGACCATAAATAAGTCACTTAAAAAGAGGCCCAGCCCAAGATTTAGAATTGGCCTGGTCAGGACTGGAGTTGAAAATCAAGAGACTATTGGACAAACAATGACAACCAATTTCCGGGGCAACTCTCAACCCACCTGCTTATTAATTTAACTGATTAAATTGCACGTTGCGTGTGGCTGGCACTTTCATTGATTGGCCACCAATCACAAAATTCGGACAGGGAATTTCGCCTGGCCAAGACCACTACCACTTTGTCCGAATTAATGCCGCCTGCCAAAGTTGTAATGTTGATAATCAGAGTCGTCATAATAATAATAATAATCATAGTCAAGGCAAAGGCAAGCGCAAATTGAATAATTTGATTAGGGGTTGCTTGCTGATTGAATGATTGATTGGATTCTGTTGCAGCCGTTTGGCTTGGGATAGGTCATTTCGGGGGCACCCTCTATGAGAACAGTACTCTATTATGCTAACTGGTTGCATAAAATGTGTCCCATCCGGAAGGGATTTCACCCCCTGCTGCCCGTGCTCCCCCATTTTGCATTTTGCCAGGACTTGAGCACGTTGTTCCCATCTTTCAGCTGCTCCACCTCCCCTGGGCGGTTCACTTTGTTGCTCGTCTTTTGCAGGCACTTAATGTGCCTTTCCAACCACCCCCTCACTCCCCTGGAAAACAATGCAGTGGGTACATGGCACATGGAATGACAGGCAGACACAGGCGAATTTCAGCACGGAAGCGGAAGTCATTGTTGTCGCACAAAGGCGAACGCGTCGCAATTATAATAATTTTGATTGCACGCCGCCAGCCCCGCCAGCTTGTTATGGTGGTTGATGGTGGTGGTGGTGGTGCAGTGGTGCAGTGGTATCCTGCCTGAATTATACAGCCTTCTGGATGGATGGCATGGGTTGGAAGGACATTCCGGGGATGAGGGCCACACGTGCCTCACTTTTGTGTTCGCCAGTCGCTTTTATGGATCTTTTACTCTTTTTTTTAATTACGAGTGCTAGACAAAGTCTGATGGGAATGGGTAAAAAAAAGGAAACCAGGAGAGTGCTGAATTGAGCCACTCTCTATAGCATACCCATCCCCAACACCATCATCATTATCTGCTTCGGCTGCCTGACCATCTCCTGTTTGTTGGCAATACCCAACTAATTAGCTACACAAATAAGCAATTAACTGGCTGGGGGGGGAGAAGGGGGCAGTTGGTGGTCACTTAATTACACAAATTATTTGCCACAAAAACCTCAAACTCGAAGGCTCCGACTCAAGTGCACTCAAGGACATGCAGCCAACAAAGCAGTCTAGCTGTAATAAGGAGCTATGAATGTGTGAGCTCCTGTGTAAAAGGATAGGGGTGTGTGGTTGTCGACGACTTGGTCCTTGGTCAGCAGTTTGACCATCAGAAAGAAAGGAAAACAATTTTCTTGAAAGCTTTGATTTGACTAAGTGAACTGCAAAGTCCCGGGGAGCCACAGAGAGAGCGAGTGAGCAAAGGGAGCAAAGGATGCTGCAAAAAGGAGACAACTATCATTTGCTTTTAATTTGACTCGAGGGCGTAATTAAAGAAAAATGCCAAGCCAAGCCAAAGTCCTTTGATTGTCGGCCCGGGGCCTTCTATTGCCGCCTTGCCAGCTTCTTCTGGGCTGGAAATGCAAATCCTTACAGGACCCACTCGCCCCACCAGGGAAACAAACACGGAACACGTAGACGAGATGGATTCGGCAACAGGGAGTGAGGCCAAGAGAGAGAGAGCCGTAATACGTTAATTGTTTTAAGAAAACAGGCTGAGACTGCATGTCTTGAAGGACATAAATCCCGTTTAACCTGACGCTGCAAAGCCAGACACATTGGCACGAAGAGGGCAACCGGAAGAAGGACGAAGGACCAAGGACGAGGGCAGGGAAGAGGACTTGCTGGCACAGTCATCCAGCTAACACATAAATTCTGCTCCTTTATTCCAGTTGCATAACATGTCCTGCGACACCGACAAAAAACACAGTGAAACCACCCGAAGACAGACCGACAGACGTGTTATATATAACGGCAACTTTTGCTGCTGACTTGGCGAGAGAGATGAGTCCTAAATACAGTGATCGACTGGGGATTACTTAGCAAGAATATAAGATAAAATAAAAGTTTTCTTGATGCTTAACACATACATTTTTGGGGATTTTTATAGTATCTAAAAACCTTTACAAGTCCCATAGTTATTAAATATTATCTGATCTGAGGTCAATGTAATATTTTAAAGTAGTAGAAAGCGGGGAATGAAACAGGATACTATTATGGGTTTAAGTTTTGTCTAAATGTCTAAATATCATTCAAATAAAGTCACAAATAATGCTATCCTTCTAAGCCTGATTATAAGCGTTAAATCCTCTCCTAGTCTGTTTATGTCATTCCCTAAATTACAAATCTCAGAACCAACTAATTCCCAAACTGGTATACCCTCCTCCATGTCACAAGTAATGTGCATGTGTTAAAAAAAGTGTCAAAAAACTAACAAGTTTAAATAGTGGAAGAGGGACTTTTGCGGGGAATGGGGAGCTTGCAGCGGCAGACGAAGTTATGCAAAGTCAGCAGAGGACATTGACATGCGAGCAGGTCCTGTGTGTGTTCTCCTGTGTGAGTGTGATTCAATTTGCAGTTGTGGCACTGCAGCCAGGAGCAGAATCACCCACACCAAGGACTCGACAGCCAAATTGCCATATTTCATCTGCGACTTTTATGACTTTTTCTTTTATTTCTCAACACTTTTTAGCAGGTTCCAATTGAAGTTTTCGAAAAGGATACCCCGTGGAACTTTCGCAGAGTCACAGGTTGATGCCTAGACGAGATTGGCTTCAATATCGCCGACGCACTGGGTGAAGTATTCCCTGGCCAAGCGACACTCCTGGCCGTCCACATAGAATTGGCCAGGGCACTTTTGCATGGCATGGATGCGGAGACATATGGTAATCTGTAGGGAGAAGGGGTTGCAGGACTCCTCGATGAACTCAATATCCGGCAGATGGAGGGTGAACCGTCCGCCGTGGGAGGATCGGAACACCTCGCATTTCCGATATGCATCCAAGAGGAAGGCAATCGATTCGTCCTGTGGATGGGGTGCCATGCTCTTCAGGTTAATGCGGATATTGGCCAGATCCAGGCGATAGGGTGGATCGATTTCAATGTAGCCGGAGGTTATAAAGTTGCATTCCTCAATGCACTGTCAGTTAAGATCAAATGAAGATATCTGGTACTAGATTTATTTATTACCTCACCATATTTATTGTATAAAGCTCGGCAAAGTTGAATTTTCGATGGGTTGGCAAATTGAGGCTCTTTCTGCACTCGGCATTGCCTTTGTCCAAGCTGGGACGTGTTAGGAGACAACATCTGGTTGATAGATCCTGGCAGGTTATATATAAAGTAGTTGGCTAAATCTCTAAACTTTTTTGCTTACATACTGCAGCCCTTTTTTATTCAATTTGCAATCCATTTCGCAGTTCATCAGGGAAAAATGCCTGAACAGCAGCTATGTTATATAAAGAAAGCTCTTTAAGGAACTCCTTAAATCCCCTTTTTTATCTTACTCACAAAAACCGAGAAGACCAGCGATCTAGGTGACATTTCAAGCTAAACTGATGCATAAAACTGATTCCATTTCCAAATGAGAGGCAATTAAAATACGCTTAATAGACCAGAATGAAATAAATTATACATATTAATCACTTTTTTCGACGCCACCATCTTATACCTGAGGTGAAAAAACGCTCACACCTCCGCCGAGTTATGAAACATCAATGTGTATCCCTCTGACAAAAGTGCAATCCAATATGGCCACGCCGCAGGACGTCTTGATTAATTGGCTTGGCACGCCATCAGATTACGTATACGTCACGTTGCCCGCCTCAAGGTCGAACGCCGTGAGTTAATAAATTGTTTGGCGTTGTTAACTAAATTTTGATTACCCCCAGCGAAGGGCAAGAGTCGACGAAAAGAAGAGGGCGGGGCAACAGCAACACTCTTTTCTTGATTTATTGATATGCTAATTGAGTATTTGCACGTCGCTCGCCTTGGTCCTTTTTTAATGGCCCAAAGAGTGCGTCGGCGTGTTGGTTTCGTTGGCCATTGGAAGTTATGAGCCATGGCACGCCATTTGCATGGCAGCGTGTTGTTCAAATTAATTGTAAATGGTTGTAATTTGCTGTTGCTGGCTGGCCGTTCGCTTTTCGCTTTTACAGTTTAATTGCAGCTTAAGGGGCGGGGCCAGCGAAAGGGGGCGGGGCCGCGAACTTGGACCTTCGAGAGAGCGGCGGGCAGGCTTAATTAATTTATGGCCATGGCCATGGGCCCTGCCCCCCTTTGCACCCCCTCTTTACCCCCTTAAATACACGTCATTTGAAGTTTGAGCGTGTTTAACGTGACGTATGAGTGATTTATGTTGATGGAGTGCACATTAAGCGATGTTGAGGCAGTTAAACTGCCAAAGGGTCATCAATTGAGTTGATGTGCAAGGACTTGTCGAGGCCTTGGCCCTGCCAACCCCCCGTTCTCCTCATTCTGCATTGTTGCGTGTCCTTGTCGATTTCAAACCCCCCTTTTCGCCCAGTGTCTGTCGGTATGGAAAGCCGCTTAGTTCGCTCTGTGAATCGCCGATGGCTGAATAAATAACATGTTTATGTATAATGAAGATTTTGTGAATAAATGACTGGGCAAATATTTAAGCCCTCTGCCAACAGGCAAACGAACGTGAATCGGTTGTGTTTTCCCGCTTGGGGACTTTTTCCAGCCTTATTACTTAAGCACAAGTGGGAAATATTAGGTTTTCTGTTTCTGATTTTTGTTGCCTGGCAAGGTTCTCTGTTTCGTAATGAAATTATTATGCTTATGTGGTTTACTCTTTTAGTTCGGTACATTAAATATGTGGGTTAATTTGCATGATAAAAGAAATAAATTACATTTTAGTTTAAGAAAAGAGAAAAAAAGCTGTATAATCATTCTTATTATTTTATTAAAAAAAACCATGTAATTAAATTTAGCTTTTAGTCTTTCTTTAATCTTATGATTACATTTTAATGAAATTTCATCAAATATTAAGTAAAATTTATTTTACGAAAAAGAGTATTACCTATTTCCAGTGGCCTTCCTGACATTTTTCCCTCCCCAAGTGCTGGTTAGTTTTGCACGCAATTTAATTATATCTACAGGATCTTCCCCTCGCCACCGAGCGAACCATGGTTGTGTGTCGAAATTAGTAGGAAATTGTTAATGCGATAACAGATTTTGCCAGAGTGTGTCCCATGTAAAGCTTCTTTTGGCCCGGTTGCCTGGCATCCGTGCAAAAAAGGGCCCACCGGAGTGTGGGTATTTATTTATTGTGCCAAAACAGATTTAAGGTAAGTCCGACTTTAAGCGAAGGAACTTCGTTGGCTAGAGAATAGTGGGAGGGGGGTTTCTGAATTCAGGACTCAGGATTCGGGGGCGGGTGCGAAACGCCAGGACATGGCACATAAATCGTTGGCAGCTCACGAGAAAGTAGAGCTCCTAGAGCTGAACACACGTTAGCAAGTGAGAAATTCCATTGAAAATGCATTTGTGGCGAACATCGTGGTTGGCCAGGCCAAAATGGGGGGGAAAAGTGGTGGGATTTGGTTGGCAGCTAAATTAAAGACGCAACTCACGTGGTTGCTAGCCAAAAAGTGGGAGGGGCGGGAAGCTGTCGTCTTCGCCCCCCGCACATAAATCAGTTTTAAATGCGTATAAATAAATTGGCCAGCAGGTGGATGGGTGGATGGGTGGATAGGTGGGTGGAGCACTCCCAGCCAAACTAGTGCGGCCAAGAGAGGTCACGGTCTCGTGGTCTCTGGGTCGCCACAAGCACAACTCCCGGCTTAATCCAAACACTTCGTTTTGACAATTTATGCGCGCAGATTGCCAAGAGGGTGTAGAACAAGGGGCGGACGGGCGGATGTGTCGCCATGTTTGTCTTGTATCTTGGCTGCTTAGCAGAGACTTGGTTATTTATTCAAGCTTTGGAAGCACTGAAGAAAACTAAGTTCACTTTGGCGATTCTGATAAAGAAAATGGTATAAAACAAAATGGGATTATGAGAAAATGTTTCTAATCGGTTTCAACAATGATAATAGCCATGTTTAAAAATGAAAAGTTTCGACTAACTGAATATATTTTTTTAACAAGTTATTACAATTTAAACATATACATACATAAGTCAGAATGAGGAATGTCATACCCCGTTGAGCTCGTTGTTTGATTTCCAACCGATTTGCATCCCAACCTGAAAATTTTTAATTTTTGCCATTTTTTGCAAAAAAGTGATGCAACCCCTACAAAAATTGAGAAAATTGGTCAAAAAATAAATTTTCCTAAAAGTGATGAGGATCGTTAGCATATTTAGCAGGCTGTTCAAAACAGTCGGTCTTTTAGCTGTACGCCTTGATTTGGCTGAACTACGATGGAAAAACCGGAAAAAAATGTTGAATTTTTGACAAAAATCGGAATTTTGTATTTATGACAAAAACTTTAAACCTTTTTTCGCCATAAAAATTCAGTTTTTTGGCTGCCATAACAAAAATACAAGTCAGAATGAGGAATGTCATACCTCGTTGTGCTCGTTGTTTAATTTCCAATCGATTGGCATTTCAACCTGAAAATTATAAATTTTTGCCATTTTTCGAAAAAAAGTGATGTAACCCCTACAAAAATTGAGAAAATTGGTCAAAAAATAAATTTTCCTAAAAGTGATGAGGATCGTTAGCATATTTAGCAGGCTGTTCAAAACAGTCGGTCTTTTAGCTGTACGCCTTGATTTGGCTGAACTACGATGGAAAAACCGGAAAAAAATGTTGAATTTTTGACAAAAATCGGAATTTTGTATTTATGACAAAAACTTTAAACCTTTTTTCGCCATAAAAACACAAAATAAATTTTTCAAAAAGTGATGAGGATCGTTAGCATATTTAGCAAGCTGTTCAAAACAGTCGGTCTTTTAGCTGTACGCCTTGATTTGGCTGAACTACGATGGAAAAACCGGAAAAAAATGTCGAATTTTTGACAAAAATCTCAATTTTGTATTTGTGACAAAAATTGTAATCCTTTTTTCGCCATAAAAATTCAATTTTTTGCCTGCCATAACAAAAATACAAGTCAGAATGAGGAATGTCATACCTCGTTGTGCTCGTTGTTTAATTTCCAATCGATTGGCATTTCAACATGAAAATTTTTAATTTTTGCCATTTTTCGAAAAAAAAGTGATGTAACCCCTACAAAAATTGAGAAAATTGGTCAAAAAATAAATTTTCCTTAAATTGATGAGAATCGTTAGCATATTTAGCAAGCTGCTCAAAACAGTCGGTCTTTTCGCAGTACGCCTTGATTTAGCTGAACTACGATGCAAAAACCGAAGAAAAATGTCGCATTTTTGACAAAAATCTGAATTTTGTATTTTTGACAAAAATCGGAATTTTGTATTTATGACAAGAACTTTAAACCTTTTTTCGCCATAAAAGTTCAGTTTTTGGCTGCCATAACAAAAGTATAAGTCAGAATGAGGAATGTCATACCTCGTCGAGCTCGTCGTTTAATTTCCAATCGATTGGCATTTCAACCTGACAATTTTTAATTTTTGACATTTTTCGAAAAAAAAAGTGATGTAACCCCTACAAAAATTGAGAAAATTGGTCAAAAAATAAATTTTCCTTAAATTGATGAGAATCGTTAGCATATTTAGCAAGCTGCTCAAAACAGTCGGTCTTTTCGCAGTACGCCTTGATTTAGCTGAACTACGATGCAAAAACCGAAGAAAAATGTCGCATTTTTGACAAAAATCTGAATTTTGTATTTTTGACAAAAATTTTAACCCTTTTTTCGCCATAAGAATTCAGTTTTTTGACTGCCATAACAAAAATATAAGTTGGAATTTGGAATGTCATACCTCGTTAAGATCGTCGTTTAATTTCCAATCGATTGGCATTTCAACCTGAAAACTTTTAATTTTTGCCATTTGTCGAAAAAAAGTGATGTAACCCCTACAAAAATTGAGAAAATTGGTCAAAAAATAAATTTTCCTTAAATTGATGAGAATCGTTAGCATATTTAGCAAGCTGCTCAAAACAGTCGGTCTTTTCGCAGTACGCCTTGATTTAGCTGAACTACGATGCACAAACCGAAGAAAAATGTCGCATTTTTGACAAAAATCTGAATTTTGTATTTTTGACAAAAATTTTAACCCTTTTTTTGCCATAAGAATTCAGTTTTTTGACTGCCATAACAAAAATATAAGTTGGAATTTGGAATGTCATACCTCGTTAAGATCGTCGTTTAATTTCCAATCGATCGGCATTTCAACCTGAAAATTTTTAATTTTTTCCATTTTTCGAAAAAAAGTGATGTAACCCCTAGGAAAATTGAGAAAATTGGTCAAAAAATAAATTTTCCTAAAAGTGATGAGGATCGTTAGCATATTTAGCAAGCTGTTCAAAACAGTCGGTCTTTTAGCTGTACGCCTTGATTTGGCTGAATTACGATGGTAAAACCGGAAAAAAATGTCGAATTTTTGACAAAAATCTGAATTTCGTATTTTTGACAAAAATTTTAACCCTTTTTTCGCC